TAAGTTGTCTGCAAAAGATTCTACTTGTTGCTCAATGGGAATTAAGCTCCATGGAGACCGGTGTGGCACGTACGCCATGTGGGCTACTCCCACAACAAATACGTTTGGGGCTATGGGTCCCTATTGTGGGTTAGCAATTGGACAGTAGGTGCAGACATCGCCTCTAACCCAAATTCTAACTTAGAGGCGTTTAATTATAATTGAACACATGATAACTTTGCATCACTAGCTTTTCAACCAAACGTGATAATTAATTGTATAAATTAACTATTCTTTTTGTACTAAGTTGAATTACTATCATGAAGTAGTCATTAATAAGGTAAGACCAACCTGTTTTACCTAATTAATTGAATATAAATCTAGTCAACTAAATTTTTTATAAGAGTTATTATATTCTTTATGACTATATAAATAACCAATGGTTAATTTTCAAATCAATTGGCTAAAGATGATGGCTCTAGATTTTTGTGAACATACTAGTGGCTTTGCAACCTCAGACTTCAAAATTGAAGTTTCATATTTATAACTTTCAGAAAAAAAAGAAAAAAAAAAGGAGTTTTAAGTGTAGATTAATTCAAGAAAACTTGCAAACCTACAAGAATCATTTTAATTAATTTTCTTCCTTTCTTTTTTGGGTATGGACTTAATTTCATGAACATTCAACATTTTTTTTTCTTTCAAAATTAAACCAAACAAATTCGTTGTCATGAATTGATATATTGACAACAGGAAAACCACTCCGTGCCAATTTAACATGAGGTTCCTTCATAAGCCCACCACGTGATATGAACAAAAGAAAAAAAGGGAGAAACTACCAAACAATTGCAAAAGGCAACAACTCTTGCATTAAATTATTTGGATTTGGTTGTACTGCCCACCTTAAACGCGATACCCACCCAATCTTTGTCATTTTTATAGAGTTGTTCGACAGTAAAATATAAATTATTGCATTAAGAACAGTTTTTAAAATTAAGAAGTTTACTTTTATAGAATCAATTTTTTAGATTTAATGATTTATTGTAAAATTTTAGTATTTGAATTCATCTGATTGAAAGTTTGGTCTTCATCAATTATTTGCATATTTTTTCTTCCCCATAATTTCTCATGTTCAAAAAAAAAAAAAGGATTGTATAATATATTTTTGCTTTATAATAGTATAAAAATCATGATGTAATTATATCCAAATGAGAGGAGATTCAAGTGGGATCTATATCATATCTTGTCCATTATATTGTTAAAATTAGATATCTTTATATTTTTAATAATATATTTAAAATATGATATATAAGTAATAATAAAATATTTTATAATTTGAATTAT